GAGAGCTTGAGTGAAACATGGGGACGTGGCCTTTCCTTTGTTATGGGGACTCCAAGGCATATTGGGCCTCAGGCTTTTGGGGACAGCTTATCTCATGCATCCAAGTCCTTGCCCTTCTTCCAACTCAGGGAACCTTCATTTCTCCGTACTCACCGTTCTCCCCGTGGCAAAGTCCTCACCGTCCTTCCTTATTTCAACCTCGTACGTGACTCCGAGGAGTTTGTCTTTCTGGAAGGCATAGGCTATTTTGGTGATGTTGGCACCCAGGTCATTCATCTGTTGTGAAGAAGACTGCAGTCAGTGAGAGGAAGAGGATGGGAGGTGCCGTACCATGAGTCAGGCATGTGTCCTTCAGTCTTGGTTGAGATACTGACTTTGCTTCTGTAGGCTTGGTCACCCAGCTGGGTGCTGGTGCAGCTGAGAAAAAGAAATGACATGTGCATCCTCACCCCATGCCTCTGTTCACTTGAGTGGATGGATGTTGCGGCAGAGACCTCGTGAAATGTTGCTTTCTATCCAGCCTTTCAAAGTAGAAGTGTGTTTCTCGGCTCTTGTGTCTTGGATGCTCTCTGCTGAACACTTATGGACTCTGTGGTGAAGATTCCTTATAGGCTGAGTCACCTGATCATGGTACCTAGAGTGTGGGAGCTCCTCTCACTGGGGAGACTTCTTCCGTCTTTAGTGGGGGTCATATTAAAGTACCTCCTGGGTAGATAAGCCCGTTGCCCTTGCTGCTACTGTGACTTGGCCACTCACAGATTCTTTGAGGGCATCAGTGAAATCAAGAAGAGTTCTTACATTGAGCTGTGTTTTGAGGATGACTTGCCATTGATCATTTAAGGACACATGGCCGTGTGCTTGGCATGTGGGTGACACACTCATAATATTTACCCTCCCCACCCCCTTGCCTGCTTCTGAGCCCCACTGATGGCATCAAGGCTCCTTCCTGATCACTAAGGATGATGTGTGTCCTGTGGCATTGGTCTTATCCATCTCTGCAGGAACCTTCAGATCTTGCTGGGCAGTGGGTACATGTCTTTAATCCTAGCACTTGGGAGGTAGAGGCAGGCAGATCTTTGTAAGTTCAAGGCCAGCCTAGTCTACAGAGGTAGTTGCAGGACAGCTCGGGTTACACAAGGAAACCTTGTCTCAAGAAACTAAAAAAAAAAAAAATCAAACAATCTTCATATCTCATTTATATTTCTACCTTTTCCCTCAGAAGTGACAGTCTCAGCTGACATCCAGAGTAGTGCAGACCTGAGGCTGATGGAGGACACTCACCTTGACAGAGCTCTGCTTGGCTACATACATTAAAAGTATCTTCAACATCGAGGTGGACAAAGTTACAGAAATGGTGGCATTTTTGGGGTCTGGAGGCAGCCGACCTCCAGGCACAGGCACTGGTTTTTTTCCCAAATTGAATTCAACCTAAGGAGGGAAAGCAGCGAGACAGCTATGTAAGATCAGGAGACTCGGAGGAGAGGGAAGGCCTCGTGGCCTGGCTTCACTGTGCAGGGCAGTGTAGCAGGGCTCAGGGCAGCAGGCTTTCCCCAGAGGCCATGAATCCTCCCCTGAAGGTGAGTCGGTCATTTATGACGGACTTCATGAAGATGTGTGTTTAATATTGCTTCCTGTCCTTGTCACAGTTGTGCGGAACTGAGGGCCAGTCTCCCTCTGTGTCTCCGTCCTTCCTTTTTCCCTCCCTACTTCCCTCCCTCCTATGTTTCATAAGCCATCATATGGAGGAATAAGTTCTTAGATATTAAGGCAATTCTTGAATATTTTTTCTGTCTGTCTGCTTGTCTGTCTATCTGTCTCATTTTTCTTTTTTATGCATTCTATCCTCATATTTCTGAGCTATACTCCTTTTGGAAGGGATGCTGGAAGATTCAGACAGGAATAGAGAAGGGAGACATGCCTAACACCACTGGTGTTTCCTCGTGTCCCGTGCACAGCTCCTTTAGTTTTTACTTGACTTTAGAGCGATTCATACTCTCTGGAAAGCATGGCTCCGTTTCCACATGTGATGTGTGTAGGAGGTTCTGAGCCTCAGCTTATGTCCTTGGTGTGTGTTGTAGGTTGCTGAGGAACAGCATCCCGAATGTGCATGGATTTATGCTTCAGCATCTGAGTGCAGCTTTTTTGATGGCTTTCTAGAAGAGAATTGAGCTCACTGTGTCCCCTCTCTTCATCGCTTGTCCCAGCCTGGTTTTGCCTCCCTGACTTTGGGTAGTGGGTGGTTGGAAGGAGCTGACTCTATCTGTTGTGTTGTGTACAGTCCACAGCGAATGGAGAACTGAGCTGAGACAAGTTACGGTCCTCTCTGTGGGACTTCCTCACAGGCCCTTGTCTGTGGATTTGAATGGAGAAGAGCACTGGCTGGCCATGTCCTGATGGGCACTCAGGAGACTGACCCCACGAAAGATGAGGGTGAGAACTGAGCCGATCATCTCACTGTCCTGACTCTCTGATCTCTGTTTGGGCTCAGGGGTGCTTCCAGCCTTCAGCAGGTGTCACTGCAATAACAGTGAGTACTTACACAGTAGAAAATGGAAAGTCCTTTGGAAGAAATCCTGGTACTTTGAACCTGGTACTTGAATAAGCCGGTAGCTGTGGAGGAGAGGGAGGGAGGAATGGGGAGAGCCCAGGCAGCCATTGATGGCTGTTGTGCCTCAGACTGGTCTGCCCTATATACCAGTATGGACAGCTGCTTCTGTCTGGATGCCAGACACAAGGTGCTGCCGTGAATGGCTTCCACATCTCAAGGGATGCTGTGAGCTTTGGGTTTATCCACAAGGATTTAGAGGTGTTTTTTTTTTTAAATTTTTTTTTTTTAAATCTGATGTGTCAAAATCCCCTTGGAGAAGGAGAGACTGTCTAGGTAGACCATGCATTTTGTCTATCCTGGGCCTTGAGAAATAAGCCCAGTTTGCTACTTCACCTCAGGGTGGCTCAACCCTAGATGTCCTCCTGCGTTTACTGTTGGTATGTTTATAGGGATATTGTGAGATTTCCTGATCTCAGGATCCCAGAGGTGAGGGCCTGGGACTGCTCCTCATTCAGACTCTTTGCAGTGTTGCCTTTGAATGCTGTTTGGGTTGTGAGGCTCTCTGCAGACCCCCAGAAGCACTGTGTCATCTTCTCTTCTGTGTCAGAAGTCAAGTACTTGAGGGAAAGTCAACTGGACCATCCTCCTTCCTAAGAGTGCTGAGGAGGTTGTGAGAATCCTTGTAGTTTTGGAGTTTGGTATCTCAGAGGCCCAATCTCTGTGGTATGTCCCCTATGAAATTCCCCAAGGTCCCTGGGCCACTTGATTCTACTGACAAAGGACACCAAGGAAGTACTCACCATTCTTGCAGTCATTAAAGTCCTTGAGGACGATGGCACAGGAGTTGGATTTCTGCAGCTGTGAAGTCACCACAGGTTAGCTTAGCTGAGGGAGCATCAGTAGTCTGTCTTATCGGCCAACGTCCTCCCCTTCTCCTCTTGGCTTCCGCCTTTCCTGAGCTAGTTCCCTGACTTCTCATGGGCAGAAGTTATCCACTCTTCCCAAATCTCGGGAACTCTAGTTCTGCTGCTGGACATATGTTCAGAGGAGTTTCCTGACCACACTGGCCCTTGGGCTCCAGGGGTCCCTTGTTCCTAAATCTGTCCCATCAGTCGGCCATTTACAAAGCTGCAAGATTCTTTCCTAGTCCCCCAGTGATTCAGGTCTCTGAGGGAACCCCACCCCTTCCCTGGACTTACATTCTCATTCATTTCTGCTGTCAGCACTATTGGGATGATGTCCTTCAAGGGCAGAGGCATGGGGAGAGGCACAGTTCCTGTGACTCTGTGAAAGACATATGTGTTGAAATGAGTGATTGTCATGTTTCTAGATTTGTGCATGTCTTAGACAGACCGACTCAGTGATGAAGGAGTCAGGATGATGTTTCGGTTCTCAGTGTGAGGGTGAGTCCTGAGCTCCTTGCTTGGTCTTTAGTCTTTAAGGAAGATGCAAAGGTTCCTGGCCAAACACAGGACACCTGCCCCAGAGGTCTCCCTGGATCCTTCAGACACCAGAACACATTTGTCCATAGACCTATCTGTGGTCTTGGTGTAGCTTGTTAAGCTCTAGTTAGAGAAATTATAGTGACTCCTGCATAGGGCATCACAGAGGGAGGGAAAGAATGTCCAGGCTGGGTATAAATGGGGGAGAAGCGTTTCTAGCTTCCTAGTGTGAACCTAGTCAGAATGGCTACTATTAACCTAGTCAGAAGGGCTTGGAACCTGTGGTTAGCCCAGGAGAAGAGAGGTAGGCAGCTGGCCCACAGAAGTGTCAGAGAGATTTTCACCGTGTGGCCTCATGGTTCTTTTTAGGGAAAACATAGGATGAGTTCCTTAAATAGAATCAGTAGGAAAGCTAGAAGGTAGATGTGAGAAGACTGTTCTTGAAAAGAGAGAAATGTTGATAGTCAGCTCTCCTAGCATGTCCTGATTGTCTAGAGGACTATGGTGGACCAGCTCTCCTCTGGGACAGCAGCAGGGCCTTTTGACACACTTTTGGATTGATTCAGTAGAAGGATAGAAGCTGTTACGTACGTCTCTATTAAGTGTATTTTCATTTCGTTGACCTTCATATGGATGTCTTGGACGTCAAGGTTGACACATTGCGTGTTGTTGGAGGAAATATCAATTTTCATTGTCACATCCATGTTAGATTCAAATTTCAGTAGGGTGATGACAGGTCCAAGTACGCTGTGGAGAGGAATGTGAATGAAATACTGCCTGAGACATGAGGCTCCAGCGGAGGGCTAGGCATTTGGGAATCAGGCTCATGTTGTGGTGAAGGTCGTCCTCTAGAGGGGAGGACTGTGTTTCCTAGTCCACATGCTCCTAGGGCCTCAGTCCCATGCCACAGAATGAAGAGGGTGGTTCTTGTGGTAGTAGTTACTATTTGACAAGTAACTGTCTTACCTAGCCTTGAGGAGGTCCTCTGTTGTTGGTGGCACAAGCTACCAGCCATAAGTTCACTTCCAAGTCTAGCATTTAGGCCTTTTTTTGAGTTTTTGTGGAAATACGTAAAAGAAGTCTATCAGGAGAAATGCTTGGCTTCTTAACATAAGAAGCTTTGGACAAGGCAGGTTATCTATCATCTGTCTGTCTGTCCATCTGTCATCTATCTGTCTGTTTTTCTATGTATCTATGTATGTTTCTATCTATGAAACTATGTATGTACCTATGATTTATATATGTTTATATGTATGTGTCTATCCATCTGTGTAATTTTTTTTTCTGAGTCAGGGTCTCACTGTGTAAGCCAGACTTGCTTGAAATAGCTGATCCTCCTTTCTCTGTCTCTGAGTCCTTGTTATCTGGCTCTAGGATAGGGTGCATATATCCTAATCCCCAGTGACCCAGCAATCATGGTGGAAACAGGCTCACCCTTTTCCGCCTATGGTGGCAGTGACTGTGGAGTGGACTTGGATCTCATCAGCTTCCATGGTTATGTCCGTGCTCTCCTCTCTCACCTCGTCGACCTTGAAACTGCAGAGTGACGACAGAGACTCAGTTCTGCTTCATAGAAAGAGCCTGGCCCTCCTGAGAAGTACGTGTGAGGCACCCAGTTCCTCACCAGCTAAATGCTGCTAGTCCTGTGACCCGTGAGCTTCCTTCCCTTTCCACCCAGTGGTTTAAACTCAAGACATCCTGGTCATATTTTGCAGAGTTCCAGCGGGAGTAAGTCTGTCTCTCTATGAAAGGGTGGCTGTCATGGGGTTGCTGTAGACTGAGTGTAAGTGTTCCCAATGAGCAGTTTGTTTGTCCAGAAACCCAGAGAATTGTCAAGGAAGCACTTACTCGAGCACAAGCTCTTGGATGTTTATCTTGAGCAGATCTGAAAATGAGTTTTTGATGTCTTCTGGGAGGATATCCTTCACCTTGGCCTCAACAGATTCTTTGAGATGTTCTACGTCTTCAACCGCGCCACCCAGAGTCTGCTTGATATCGGAGAGCCCCTCTCCCTTCAGGAGTCCTTTGCCAGAGCCCTTGTCTCCACCGAGGTTTAGTAAGCTGCCCAGGCCTTCCTTGCCCCCTGGGAGGAGGTTGTTGAGTCCTCCAGTGGCCTTGGACCCTGAAGAGGGCTTTGAGGACTCCTCATTGCCTTTTTGGCCTAGGAGACCATCTAGGCCAAGACCGCCTGCCCCTTGTAGGAGGGAGGTGGGATCTAAGAGTGAGAGCAGGTCAAGGTTGTCCAGTGTGGCCATCAGTGTCCCAAGCACGCCTCCCATGCCAACGCCATTACACTTCACAAGTTCCTCGATCTGTGGGGGCAGAGTGTTCATGAGATCTGAAAAAGATCAAGAGACAATCCTACTGTGGGTTTTCGGTTCAGTTCATCCCTAGCACCCTCCTTTTGGAAGATGACGTCTTGAAATATGGGGTACATAGGAACTCTGAATTCTGCCTTCCAAGTTCTAGTGCTTCCCCTGCCCTAGTTAAGAATGACATTCTGTCTGAGAGATCCCCCTTCCCTGTTGTCCCCAGCTGCTGCTGGTCCTACACTGATGCTAACTTGTGATGAGACTGTTAGCTTCAAAGATACTAGGTGTGGAGTGAGGAGGAACCTCATTTGTGTGTGTCATTTTTCCTGTCATCATTTGTCTTGCTTCTTTCTTTCCTTCTATTGACAAAAATCATACACACAGACACACACACACACACAGACACACACACACACACACACACACACACACACACACACACACGCGCACACACACACACACACACACACACACACACACACACGTTGTGCATTCTTGACTGGTCTTGTTAGGGCATGAGCCATCTGGCCAGCTTTATTTGATTAATTTTTGTTTTTGTCCTGGTGTCTGGTGCTCAGTATCAGCTCTAGTCCTCAGGGTCGTCATTGGTATTCTGATCCCCATCCTCTGTGTTTGTTGGAGGCTTATAATTGGATGTGGTGCATGACTTCCAGATGAAGTATAAAGGTTATGATTGCAGATATCTACTGTAAGGTGGAGGGACTGCAGAAATAGGAGGGTAGTGAATAGACAAGCACAATTATTCTTTCTTTCTAGGCCATTCTGCCCAAGTCTCCTCTGCTCTTTTGACTCATTTTCACATCATTAGTCTTTACAGATGATGTTACTTGGATATGCTATGTTGGGTAGCCTTTGCAGTTGTTCAAGACTTAAGCACTGATAGGCAGGTAGGGGCCTATCATGTATTTCCTGCCATCTGGTATAAGTAGGAAAGGAGAGATGGTATTCTACGGTAGTAGAGAACAGGCTGAGAGTCATCCTGTGGCCTGGAAAATAGTCAGATCACTATAATGCTATCTCCACATGCCTGTCTGTCTGGCTCTAGTAGGAACTGCCTAGAAAAAAAAATGTTAGTGAAGTGTTGCTTGTGGTCAGCCTTGGCTATTACAGAGCTGTGGCTGATTGGTCCAAGGAGCATTTCTACCTTAGCAGAGTTAAGGTTGAAGGCAGTCCAGAGAAGCATGTCTTACATCCTAGCTGCTCCTTCTTTGACCAGAGTTCTGTGTCTAGAATCTTGGATTCATGAGGGGTGTTAGTTGGCCACTATGACAGGTAAGTGGCTTATGGCCTCCGTCGTCATCCTGTCATGCTCTCTGTGATGCAGGGCTTTACTGGAGTGTTGCTGCATAGAACTTCTAGGGAACTACAATGTGTTTCCTGTTGTTCGTTTTTAACCCATGAATCCTAACCAGTCCCTGATTCCTCAAGCAGAAACATGTTTTGGTCATGCTTTTAACTACCAAGGTTCCTGTATTCTCAGCGTTTGAGAATCTTAGGGAGAAGACTTTCTCATCTCCTGGACCAAAGTTTATGTCAGGGAGAGGCTGAAGTGGGTGTTTCAAGAGAGCACGTGTGGTCAAGGGCTTGCAGGCCGATTCTGAATGTGCTGCTTTTGGTTCTGGAAACTAGGCCGAGGGTTCATTAATTGTGGGAGTCTAGGCAGTCTTGGGGCCCAAAAAGGAGAAACATGGCACAGTCTCTAAGTGGTAAGAATTCACTGGAAGTCAAATAGAGAGACAGCTTTGGCGTCAGACATTTCCTTTGTCCAGGGTAGCATAAGTCAGTCCCGGACTAAGAATAGTTACCTTACACTCATTTTCACCATCTCCCAGAGCTTTAGGATGAGCTGGATTCAGCCCTCGCTGTGCCAGAATTTCTAGGCATGACCCAAGTTCCCTTCTCTCTCTAGGCACCAAGCAGATGCCACAGGGTCATCATGTTTGAAATTTACTTGCTGAGAAGGTGACTGAACCTTCTCTGAGCTAGAAATGAGCGGACTATGGAAGGTGTGGACAGGACTCAAAATGACAGCTAAAGTGGGTCTTACTTACAGTCGTGGAGTTGGCCGCTGGAGAGGAAGTATCTGGCTGCAGGTGCACACTTGCCTCCTTTGGGGGCAGCTGGATGCTTTCTGGGAGGCAAGCCTTGGCTGTTGGAGGAACCTTTGAGGTGTGGGGGGCTTGGCATGACAAGAGGGAGAGTGCTCACATTGGGCACAGCAACAGGGAGATTGTTCACCGCTGGGGGTGTTTCCACCAGGTCAAGTGTTCCTGCTTGGATGTTCAACATGATGGCCAAGGCCCAGAGAGCCCACATTGTTGTGGGTGAAACCTGCAGAAGAGAAACGGGTCACTCATCATGTTCACCACGGGCCTTAGAGCTGTCATGTTACTTTGTGTAGATGGCTCCCTGGCTCTGGGAAGAGCATGTTTTCACATTATTGACACCCCAGTTTCTCCTCTGTTCGTGGGAATATGTTCTGATACATGCTAGTTAACATCTTGTGGAGCAACTCTTTCCTCTTCCTGTTTCTGCCATGGGTAATTGTACTGTCAGGATCGGCTGTAGCATGTCAATGAAGGTGAGCCCTGTCCTGAGGTCTGACTCCATTTGTATATATATATATGTATATATATTCTCCTGCTCTTTTGTGCAGCCATAAGATATAATATCCTTGGTATTATCCCAAATATAAATTTCACCCCTCTTTTTTTTTTTTCAGTGCTGAGATTGTATAAAAGACTTGCCCATGTTACACCATTGCTGAACCACTGAACAATGTCCTTAGGGCCCTGGCAGTGTCCCAGTTCCTGTCTGTGAACATGACCAGTTGAGTCCTTAGCTACAATCTCAGGTCTCTTCCCCTAAGTATCTTCTTAGTGAGTAGTTAGTATTTGACTTTTCCTGAGGCATCTTACAGAATTGTGTGAGCAAAGCTAGGCATTAGGTCCCCTTCTTATCCTGGTTTCCCTTGTCTTGGGTTGTGGACCTCATTCACGGTGGTGCATCTGAGGTGTGCTGGTGACTTCTGGAGATTATTTCCCATCTCACTTTCTCAGATTCCTTGTTTATGCTTATTCTCTGAGTGTTTTGTCTCTGAAATTTACCTTGATTTATTTGCTTATTTATTTTTGAGACAGGGTCTTCCTCTCCTTTCCTGAAGCTTCCTTTCTAGTTCAGACTGGCCTTGAAATCACAGAAAATTGTTGCCTCTGTCCCTCCAGTATTGGGATTAGTGCTGTACACCCCCATTCCTGGCCTTTCATTAATTCTTGGAATTACATTTATTCATTGCTTTCCATTGGTGTTTATGTGTGTTCTATGTCATGGGTATGCAATTCAGAGGAGAAATTGATGGAGTTTGTTCTCTCCTTCTGTCATGTGGATTCTAGGGACCAAACTGAGGTCATCAGGCTTGGTGGCAGGTACCTTTACCAGCTGACTGATTTCCCTGTCCTCTTTCTAACATTTAGAATGGTCCTCAGGCGTGTGACCAAGGCATTTTCACCTAAGATATGAGTTGCACTGTGGCATTTCTTCCCTCTTGTCCTCCTTCACCTGTCAGGTTTGTAAAACTGGGGGTGTGGGTCTTTGCTCCCACCTTTCAGAACACTGTCAGAATCACCATGGGGGTCACTTCTCTCAAATTGTGACCCTGCAATGAATATTTTGTTTATGAGGGAGGGCACCCTGCACATGGATCATTCATCAACACTCCAGCTATAACCCTTAATATCCAGAAACATTACTGCAGCCTGGCAAAAAGAGGCTCCTGTGACATACCTGTCCAGCAAGTGACCACTCCAGCCATGACTGGTACCACCCTGGTAATTACTTGATCTCATTTGAAAAACATCATCTATAGTCTGTCTTCTTCCATCCCTCAGATCTGGCCATGCCCTGTCCTCTTTGCATCCTCCAGTAGTCTACAGTAAGTTTGTGTTCCCAGAGCTGAGCTAACCTGTTTCTGGAAAGTGGGTGATTCTTGGAGGATGGGTGTGATGGTTTAGGTTGGTACCATGTACACTCACTAGCAAAAGCAAGCCCTCTGTTACCGTTACCATCAGTAAGTGGTTTCAGTAAATAGAAGCCAGTGACAATCCCTTGCCTTGAATAAATTGCCTTTTTGAAAAACAGATCTCAGCACATTTCCACCAGACTTCTGCCTTTGCTGTCCTACCTTTGGGAAATCCAAAGAGCATGGCATTCATCTAAACCCTCTCTCTGTGGAAAATCAGGCATTTGTGCCTGCTAATGTGTTCATGGCTCTGCTGCCTAATGGACCTCTTTGAATGTTCCAGCAGTCAGTTTCCTGTGTTGTTCAGAAAACAGTCTCCTAATTTTCCCTTGTCATCTACCAGCCCACTTTAGTCCCATAATCCCGCATTTCAGCAGCAGAGGAAAATTCTAGATTGTCAGTGAACAAGCCCTAGTCATCTGTCTAGAGGTGACCTGTCCCATAGTCGTTCCTACCTGGCCTGCCATTCTTAGTGCATCCCTCTGGGCAGTCCTTACCTTTCCCCTGTGAAGGGTCAACGTCTTCAGAAGCTTCTTCTCCTCCTGCTCCTGCCTCTGACTGTCTGCCCCAAAGGTGCACCCCATTTTTATAGGCATTCACTGTCTCCTAGAAAGGTCACCATAGAGGAAGGGGCATGATCTAGATGTGCTGATAAGACAGTTGTGATGCAGTATTCTTTCCAAAATCAGCAGCTGCTGTTTATCCTTGCTTTTGTTGGCATGTCTCTGTGCCTGTCAGAGCTGGTCTTTGGATGGCAGAGGCAGGAACATCACACAGAGTGTAATGGCCCTGGGGGCCTGGTGGTTCTTTGTTTTTCGTACTTAACCATAGGAGGAGGAGAAGACTATGAATTCTTCTGATCTAGACTTTCCTGAGGTTTATTGTGCTCGGTGGCTCATTTCTCTCTCTCTTTTTTTATATCCCAATGTTGCTGTCTTGTAGTCACCATAACCAGATGAAAAGGGCCATAAAGATGAGTTAATCAGTCCTCTGAGATTCCCTTGTTGGCTCCTAATAGTGCCCTGACAAAGGTGACACTCAGTACAGAGTGACTGTCAGGCATCCATGATACAGGACCATCTCAGACATGATTGGCATGTATCATCTAGTAATATAACTACAGGACCATCTCAGACATGATTGGCATGTATCATCTAGTAATATAACTACAGGACCATCTCAGACATGATTGGCATGTAACATCTAGTAATATAACCATGTAACAATGAGCAAGAGATGCAGATGAATGTACCTAGGGACTAACTTAACTTGCCTGAGTACAGTGCTGTTCCTGAGTTTGTTAAACAGGAAA